CCAGTGCACACACATCTCACTGTTGTGTTCAAGGCAACCTGAACCAGTTGGAGTTGTTTATCCTCCTGCTTGGAGTGTGGGGTGAGCTTTGCAGAGGCCCCTAGCTCCCCATGTCAGATAATGTGCTGGCTGGTGCTTTAATGGGAGCATGCACAGACTGGATGGGAAATAGTAGAAGAGGACATGGAGCCACCAGATAGCATTTCCAGCCCCAATGTCATCCCCTTTCCTGTCTGGCCATCAGTAAGCCTGTCTCCTGCATGTACGGTGCTTAGCATTTCCATCTGATATCAGAATGTAGGGTGCCTGGAGACCAGGCAGTCTTCACTACATCTTCCTTTGAGTCTCTGGCCAGGGTCCTGGAAGGACGGCATTCCCCCATGCCTTGCAGATCTCTTCCTAAGCCTGCAGGTAGGATGACCGGAGGTATGTTGACCTCACTCTGAACATGCCTCATTGTCTTTGTGGGTCCCTCTTCACCCTCATTGACTTCCTCCAACCCACCTGAGGGGGTTCAGATTCTTCTCAACAGTTTCCTTTCTCTCCAGGGGAGCACTTTCCAAACTTTCCTCTCCCTCTTTCTTAGTCTCTCTCATTTATTTTTACTTCTCTCTCTCTTTCCTAGCTCTGTCTTTTTTCTCTCATTTATAAAAAATGTACATAATATCAAGTGGTGAAGCAATGAATAAGCAAATGCTTAGCATTTCTCACATTTAACTGCGGGTACAGCAACATGTCCTGTGCCTCCTTGTTTCTCAGAACCTTCTGGGACCCCTGCTCGCCTCTAACCTGAACTCCCCTCCTTGGGTGTCTGTGTACCTGGAGAAATTGATGTCTCCCCTGCTCTCCAGCCTTCCATTTTCATCACAGGACCCCATGACCTGTGATCATGTACTCCTCACCCCCGAAGCAGGACAGATGCTCCCAAGGGCAAGCCACACATTAACCGCCAGGATTCCAGATGTGACCCGGCTGCAGAGAATGGTCAGTCATTAGCGCTACGCTAGCTAATGACTAGCTCGATGATGACCTGCCGACGCTCTGCTGCCTCAGCCTGTGCCAGCACAAGGATGCTATGCTGTGAGGGTGTAGAATGTGTGGAAGACACCTGGGGTTGCCTGGAGCTGCAGCTGATCCACACTCCATGGATAGCTGAGAAGGCAGGCATATCTGGTCTGGGCTTGCAAGTTTTTTCTGAAGCTGGGCTTCCATTCAGAGATCCTTGACCACATCACTGTGCCCTACACTGGACTTGGGTTCCCTGAGGACTCTTGTGGGTGCTGAGACCACCTCATGCAATAAGACTGGATGGCTGCAACTGCAAAGCTTGTAACCATCACCAACACCAGTCATCGTCAACACCATGGACAGCACTCCAACTGCAGGGCCTTGGAGGTTCTGTGGGTCCAAGTAATGGTTTCTCTTCTACTCTGATAGAAGCGTTTATCTAGAATGAGGAAGGAGAAGGGTCACACTATGATTGGCATGTATTTGGGGGTCATTGGCAGACACAGGACCAACTTTGGGTCGTATTTGGTGCCAAGCAGGAGTGATGACAACAGAGTCTTGACGGTATGGGCTCTGGTGTGCTCTCTCTTCAGGTTGAGCATGGGTTGCTATTGTCCACTGTTCCCTAAGAGCCTGAGAATCCTGTAACTGATTCAGGAGGGAAGGACCACTGTGCTGGTAGAAAGAAGTGGGGGTGCTTCATGCTCAAACTCCTTAAAGTGTGCTGTCCTGTGATCAGGCCTGTGTGTCTACTCAGATCAAGCAAGACAGTATGGGTGGCAACAATGACAGCATCACTCCTAAATCATCTGGCTCATCCTGTCTATTATGGCTTCACCAGCTTTTGTCTGGTGGTTGCATCACCTGGCATGGATGGAAAGAATACAGTAATGCAGGTGTCCACATGGCTCACCAAACAGGTAGCCACTCAGGGGGATCCCTTTAGAATCTCAAGGGCAGGGGCTACATTATTTGACCATACCATTCACCGATGTCCAGAGTGGCCGGCTTCACATCAATAGTGTGTGTGTGTGTGTGTGTGTGTGTGTGTGTGTGTGTGTGTGTGTACACTAATTGAAAGAGTGAAGAGCCTCAATAGACATAGACTGAACCCAACTAGCTTCTACCTCCTACCACAGCTGCTGTCCTTGCCGGGGCAGGTCTGTGAATGGAGACTGTCCAGGCTGCTTCAAGCAGGCCCTGGAACAAGTGAAGAAGAGACCCTGTCCTCTCCAACCTCACATCTCAACCTCACCTTACCCAGTCTCTGGTACCAATAAAAGATGAGGAGATAGACAGGAAGAGCCATCTGGAGGGAAGCCACTTGCCAGGGCCAGGGACATCAGTGGCAGGCTCCCATCTTTAAAGGACAGCCTAAGTGGGGGAGCTGTCGCTTGCCTGTGCAGGACTTGGGAGCTTGGTAGCTCATCAGGATCCTGTGGCTGCTTGTCCTGCTCAGGCTTCTCCACTTCAGCTCTGCCTTCTTCATTTGGATTATAGCTGGCTCCTGGGCTCCCCTTCCACCGAGGCAAAGTCTGGGTAGTGTGGTCCTGCCAAATCCCTGCAGCTGCTTGTGTTCCAGTCCCTCTGCAAGTTTCTTATTTAGTGAGTTCAGCCCTCAGGCCATTAATACAGATGGAGACTGAGGCTGGGGTATCCTAGGTGAAAACAAAGCTTGACCTCAAGGAAGCAGAGCCTCCTGGGATGGCTGTGGAGGTGGTATCCCAGCCTCTTGTGCAGTTATGAGCATCGAGCTCTGGCTTTCCACAGTATGGAATATGCCTGGGCTCTCAGCAGCAGCAGATGCAAATGGATGCAGGTCAGGATACAGACAGCTTGATGTTTAGATTCCAGTGTTACAGAGGCTTGGAACCTCTCGGGGTCTCTGGCCTGTTCTTGAGCCATTGTACAGAGTCACAAGGAGAGAGCACTGGGCAGGAAGTGTGCAGGCAGTGGGAGAGAGGAGGGCACCAGCTAATCCACGAAGGACAGAAGGTTTCAGAAGGTTGGTTCATCACTGGATCATAGATGCAGGGGCTGAGGAAGTGCCAAGTGGCGGTGTATAAATATTAGAGCTATTGCTTTGTATGGCTTAACAAGCCTTAATTAAGTGTCTCTCTGCAGACACCCAACTAATCACAGGGTTAAAGGATGACCAAGGCACTGCCTCCCCATTAAGGCAACTACAATCAGTCATCAGCCTCTGGGCTGCCAGAGCTCAAACCCATCTGCAGGGGGTTTGAGCGCAACACCATCTGCAGCAAGCATTCCTTAAATGCAGGGGGCAACTGCTCTGTGTTTCTGGGGAAGGAGTAGGGGGCACACTGAGGTCCAGTGCTCTTGTGTCTTTTGTAGACAGGTATGGAAGGCACCACCTGGCCCTCTTGCCCTTCTCTAGGCATGAGGGTGAAGGAAGATGTAAGATGGATCTTTGTGTTTGTGCATGGGTAGCCAGTCTGCTTGCCTGCCCTACCTTTGCCTGCTGACCTTTGCCCTGGTGTCCTTCAGCCCCTCCCCATTCCTATACTGACACACAGGAAGCCAAGACCCTGTGCCTGAGTGCAGAGGGTATACCATGGGGCATCATTGTTGGCATTAACATCCTGGGAGCTGAGTTAGGCCCCCAGGGCATCATAGGGAGATTTTTATCTGCTCAATATTTTTGTAAAGAGTTTCTTTGTTAATCACTGCTCCTTGACCACGGTATCCTGAGTGATCTGCTAATTTTTCACAGGGGTCCTGTGCTTTCCCAATGACTCGCTGTATTGACTCATCAGATTCTTCACCTGAGTAACTGATGAATTAATAATCCCCAATAATGGATGGCATTGCGTTATGTTAACGCACCTCTGTGGGATAAATGAAAGGCAGAGTGCAGCCGGGGAAGGGGAGAGGTCTCCAAGCTTATTAATTTAGCAGTCTAAATGAGAGTCGGAATCTCTGTCTGAATAAATATCGGGAGTTTGTTTCTGTCCCCGAGGTCTTTGAGAAAGTCAGTTATTGAAAGGCTTGCTTCGAAAGCTTTTAACCCCCGCATAATTACCATGGCGCTCACCACCATTTCACTTCCATTAATCCAGATTTAGAGCAATTTTCCTGCCGTCATTAGCCCAGGTTAAACGAGTTTGTTTTTTTTTTCATAATCGTGTCCTAGTAATATTCATGCAGAAAATAGTGTTATTCTGCTGGTTGGGAGCCCTGCAGGACATCCAGGCTTTCCTCAGACTCTACCTGAGACACTCAGCAGAACTCCACCATGGTCTCGGTCTCATTTCTAAACAATGTGTGGTCTGAGAGATGTGTGAGCACACATACACAATTCACCCCCCCCCACACACACATGCACACGCATGCACGTGCACACACACTCGTGGACCACACATCCATAAATACACTCACTCCCACATTCATACTCACATGTGCTCACACACACCTGCATTCACGTTCACTTACAGATATAAATCAGCCTGGCGAAGTCAAAAAGATGCCCAGACTGTATCAATACTGAAGCTCTTGCTGTGTTTATATGCATATAACAGGAGATGATGTTGGAAGGGACTTGTAAAAACCAGAAGGTTCCTCTCTGTTGTTGCTTACAACTGTAAGTAGATGTACAATTATCTTCAAATAAATCACTTAATTAAAAAGTGTTGGTGTTCACAGTCCTATTTAGAATCCCAGTGAGTCCACAGCATTGGAAACGTCCCATGAAATACTACCAAAAATAACTTCAACATGTCCATGAAAACATAAGGGTTACATATATTATACGTGCATCTTGCATAAAATGTATATATGGTATATATTCATTGTAGTTTTTTAGTTACTTCTGCTCAACTTTGTACAAAGGTAGTCAAATAAAAACCTCTGGTTTTGAGACATCCATAAGATCACTATGACTCTTGGCTGAAGAGGACAGCAGCAGCAGTGAAGGTGTCACCCTTGGTAAGAAAGAAAGACTGGCTAGAAAAGGACCTGAACCAGCTCTAAGTACAGATTCCAACTGTGTTTCGAGTGGTGTGGACAGGTCAGCCCCTGCTTCAGACTTTACAGTGCTTGTTCTCTCGGGACCCTGGATACATCTCCTTGAGCTCAGAAGCATCACAGAGGCAGTGGACACCTAACAGGCCACCAAGAGTGGTGTGGAGTTTCCGTCAATGCTATACAACTCTACTGTACAGAGCTTGGACCACAGCGCCAATCTGACCCACTTTCTGTCTGGAATGGCTCTCACATGGCTTCTGAACAGGGTCAAAGGTGTCTTGGCTTCCCCTGCCCTCCTGAGATCTTGCCCATAAAAGGTCTGAGTTGCCTACTTCCACTATTAAGTTGAACGAGGACTCCTTAACCCAACAGCCATCAAGGCTGTTGGCCAACTAGTTAACAGCCCAAAGCAGCCAGCTGCTTCTGACCTAGGAAAGCCAGGAGTGCAGGAGCTTGGGGCTGGGGGATGAGCGGTCGGGTCCCGCTGGCAGAGAAGGCCCTGTCAGAACGCTATGCCCGTCTCCGGTACAGGGACACTTCCTTGCTGATTTGGCAACAGCAGCAGCAGAAGTTGGAGTCTGTACCACCTGGTACATACATGAGCAGGAGCCGCAGCATGTGGTACTCCCAGTATGGAAATGAGGCCATCTTAGTCCGAGACAAAAACCAGCTTGGGGTCTCTAAGGACACTGGCCAGTCTAAGTTTTGCTCAATCATGTAATTCCAGGGAGGTCCTTGATGGCTGTGAAGATCAATCTGTGGTATAAAAACTCAACACCCAAGAATATCACCCAGCCCTCTATCAATGGCACACTGCCGTGGCCCTGGCAATGCTTCCAGACAAAAAGAGAAGCCAGTGAGATGTCCCCAGCTCCTGTGAGCTGCTTGCCTGACACAGAATGGGTCAAGTCCAGGGTAAAGAGGGGACTCTCTTCCTGGAGGGTCTCAGATCTGTCAGTTCACTGCAGTGACATGTGAAAAGGGGCCAGAGCCGGGATGGCATTTCAAAACCAAGAGTTTTAGTGACCAACTGCTATACATTACTGCATTGTGGTTAGCACCCACACTGGTCTTGTATATAGGCGTGTTGTGTCCTAAACACCTTAAGTAAAACCCTCCAATTTAAAGCTCCATCTACTTGCCTGGGTTGATCCCAAACTTAATCGTGTGGGAAAGAGCATCTGCCCAATGGTGGAGCATCAGGACCTCCTTTCTATCAGGTTGCAGTGGTCTATCACATGTTCCACCTCAGTACACATGGTGTGGACAGCTGGAACATGCCTATGTAGCAGTTCAAGTCTGTGTGGCTATGCAAATTCGGAGATGTTTGTCAAAGTTGAGCCTTCTAAATAAACATCTTAAGACTCTAAAAAAAAATCACTATGGGATACTTATCCAAATTTGTTTTCCTATGAAGTAGTCTACACACAGAAGAACTTGGGCTCTCTTACTAAAGTTTAAGTTGCTATTGACATTCAGACATTCAGAGTTAGGCCACCTGTCACTGTCAAGAATCTGGCACTGCCTGTATGCTAGTGTCCTGTGTAGGTGTGGGATTAGAGCCACGGAGGCATGCTCAAGCTGCAGGGCAGAGTGCCTGCAATAAAGACATTTGAATCTGGTCATTTCTATTTTTAAAGTTTGTGTGTGTGTGTGTGTGTGTGTGTGTGTGTGTGTGTGTGTGTGTACACGAGTGCAATATCTATAGAGGCCAGAAGAGGGCACTGGTTTCCTTGGAGCTGGAGTTACAGGTGATTGTGAGCCACCTAACTGGGGTGCTGGGAACCAAGCTCAGGTCTTCTGCAAATGACATGTACACTCTTAATGAGCCATCTATCTAGCTCCATATCTGAGCCCTCCATGCAGGACTCTTTTCAGCCTTCTGAGATGGGACCAAAGAAGACCCATGTTCTGGAGATATGGGTCACAGTGTTGTGGTGACCTTGCTGAGGCCACTAGCTTGGCCTGCTAGCAGCATGATACCAGACCCTGACTAGGCTCTGGACTCTGTCCTGGTCACCTATCTTTTGTAGAGCACTTCGGCACTACTGCCAGGCACATCCTGGGTTGGGGTGGGTGAGCCTAGCATCTCTGCCTTGTGCTTGTTCCACATTTTTTTAGTTTAAAGTCTCTGGGAAAGCAGGGATTAGATCCTTGGGATCTGTGTTCAGAGACTGACGGAGCACAGAAAAAAATGTGAAGATGATGGAGGAGCTGCAAATGGAAGCAGTGATGGAGAAGAACAGCAGTGCAGATAGCTCCCCAAACAGAGTTTGCTGCGCATACTGGGAGAATCCACAGAGACTATCTTATCCCTAACATGTGCACATCGGACTACAAAGCCAGGGGAAGCAGGGTGATCTTAAAAGCTGAAGAGGGAAAGACAGAGCTTCTTGAAGGAAGGGAGGAGTGGCAGTAGATGTATCCTCACAGACAAGGAGAGAGAGGGATGTATGCCATCTAGGCATAAGCAAGGGCAGGCTATGATAGTCCCACAATGGTAAGCTTTCCTAATGACAGTTCCCAGAAAAAGTTGTGATGTTGGGCTATTCGACTGTATTTGCAACTGAGAGACAAGACAAGAGGAGTAGAGCATCACAAAGCTCATATACAAAGCAGCCCACAGTCTCACAGGAGCTTATTAAATGGACACAAGTGCTCAACTCTAAGGTGCAGTTAAAACAATTCCACTATTAAAGGCAATAATGTACACTGATAAAGTCCCTTCAGCCAATATGAGGCTTATTGCATGCACATTTAAATTAAAATAAAAAGGACTAATAAGAAATTATGTAGGCTACACTAGTTAATTAGAAAAGTGAATGGGCAGGGCGGTGGTGGCACACGCCTTTAATCCCAGGACTCAGGAGGCAGAGCCAGGCGGATCTCTGTGAGTTCGAGGCCAGCCTGATCTAGGACAGGCTCCAAAGCTACACAGAGAAACCCTGTCTTGAAAAAAAAAAAAGAAAAAGGAAAGTGAAGGGATATATTTTCATCACCGTGCCTGCATCTGTAGCTCAGGGAACATCATGGAAGATTGCAAGAGCCAAAACAGCAGGCAGTTTGGTGTGAATCAGTCTTTCCTAGAAATGGCTATATAAGCAACACTTGGAATAACAGCAGTATCAATGGGCATATTAACATGGAAGGGGGAAATTTTCGTGTAGTTCC